TCTCTCTCTCTCTCTCTCTCTCTCTCTCTCTCTCTCTCTCTCTCTCTGTGTGTGTGTGTGTGTGTGTGTCTGTGTGTGTGCGTAGGAGGGTGTGAACTATAGTCTGAAAGTTTGGGTGTTGCCAAAATTTGAATCCCACTCCCCTACGATGAAGTATTAGGAGGTGGAGCCTTTTAAGAAGTGCTTGGGTCACAAGGGCAGAAGCTCAGGAATAAGAACAGTGCTCTTATAAAACTTAGGCCAACAGAGCCTATTCATAAGCTTCAACCTTGTGAAGAGAGAGCAAGAAGGGGTATCTTTGATCCAGAGCGAGTCCTCACCAACCTGCTGCCTTGGTCTTGATCTTCTCAGTCACTAGAACTGTAATTACTAAGTTCCTGTTGTTCACAAGCCTTAAGCCAAGGGCGTTTTATTGTGGCAGCCACAACACACTAACAGAGATAGAGGACAGGAAGACTCTAGACATGAGCAGAGAGTGCCTTTAAATCTGGATGAAAATGGATCTGCAAACAAATGAGAGAAGTGGTAGCCAAGAGGAGCCAATGGAAAGATGGAGGCAGGTTCAGCCCCATAGTTCACACAGTACTAGAGATACTCTGCATTCCAATTTTCCAGAGTGGGGAGACTTCCTAAAATGGAAAGATCAGGTTGAATCCTCAGAATGGCAATGTCTCAAAAAGGAGGCCAAATTATACCTAGACTCGAGAATATTCTAGCTCTATCCTAAAAAGCTTAAAAGCAAGCCTCGAAAGGATTGAATAGCTCTATATGACTAATTTGCATTCCAGAAACGATGTGCCCAAACACTTGAAAGAACAGAAAAACTAACAATAACAAAACAATTAAAACAAAGCCAAGGCTATCCAATAGTATAAAATTCTCAAAAGTCTAGCATTCAGGCAAAAATGTTCAGATATGCAAAAAATCAGGAAAATAAAACCACAAGCGAAAGAAAAAAAAAAACAGTAGGAACAGACTCAGAAATGAGATAGATGATAGAGGACAATAATATTAAGGCAGCTCTTAAAATATATTCCATATGATACTAAAACAACTATTGTCTACAGGTTAAAGAAAGAGGGAGGCATGGTAGGGGTAAGGAGAGAAATAGCAGCTGCCTACTGGGAACAATCTGAGCTGATATTCTGCAGATGAAACCTACAAGAGCTGAACAAAATACCGAATACCAACGGTGTGTTAACAGCAGAAGAGACATCACGAAAGAGAAGAGGTGAACACGTGAAGACCTACTAAGAGAAGCACCTGCCCCCCCCCCCAAAGACTGGTTCAAAATAAAAAGAACAGAGAAAGAGTGAGCTTTGGGTCATATTAAGCCACCTGCTATTTAGTAATGGGAGTCCTGGACTGATGGTGGTGGTGGACTGGATGGGTGAGCTGGAGGGCACTGGAGGAAGGAAAGTAGATAGACAACTTTTGAGGAGATAATGGTCAATATTTTGCAAAATTAGAAAGCTATTTAATAAAACTTAACATACCTGCCAGTCCATTCTCTGCAGCTGTAGCAAAATACCCGAGACTGTGTTCTAAACTACAAAGGAGCTGATCTGGCCCATAATTTTGGAGGTTGTCAAGTCGAAGGGCTCAGTGCTAACATTTGCTCATTATCTGGTGAGGGCCTTTTGCTGCATGGCAAGCACATGGCATGGTGAGACAGAGAAGTGTGAGAGTTCAGGTCTCTCTTCCTATAAAGCCTTACCCTCATGGCTTCGTGTAATCTTAATTACCTGCTAGAGGTTCCAAATCTAAATGCAATTAAAATGTGAATTTGAACATGAACTTTTTACCTGCTAGAGGTTCCAAATCTAAATGCAATTAAAATGTGAATTTGAACATGAACTTTTAGGGGTCCTATTCAAACCACAGCAATAACTCAAGCTGAAATCATAGACTCTTTCAGTAACAAAAGTTACTGTAAAATGTTGAAACCTCTGGGCTGGAGAGATGGTTCAGTGGTTAAGAACACTGGTTGTTCTTGCAGAAAACCTGGGTTTGAATCCCAGCATCCACATGGCAGCTAACAACTGTCCGTAACTCCAGTCCCAGGGGATCCTACAGCCTCTTCTGACCCCGGCTGGTATTGCATGACACAGGTGCACTTACCTACATGCAGACAATACACAAACACACATAAAATAAAAATAATAAATATTTTTTAAAATGTTGAAACCTCATGAACAAGCTCTGATGGATGCTTGATCATCTCTCCATCCTTGTTAAACACGCATCCCCAAAACCCAATGAGTGCAGCTAGATTTGGGAGGTCTATAGAGTCAATAAGACTTGTGGAATGGGTCCTTGAAAGTTGGTAATGGATAAAGAAAGTGAATTTCAATGAAGCTTAACATTAGTCAATTTAATTTTAAAAACTAGTTCTCAATTCATTTGTTAGAAATATTTAAGTATGTTTGAACAACTTGGGTCTGTTTTTTTTCAACTGTAAAATTTGTGACATCTATATATGCTGGGTTTTCATACCAGCAAAGCCTTATTCTCTCTCTCTCTCTCTCTCTCTCTCCCTCTCTCCTCTCTTCTCTCTCTTTTTTCTCTCTCTCTCTGGTGAGGTTTTGAATTATAAACATGTATCTCTGTGACCAGCACTGGGCAAAACATTTGTAATGAGAATTTACATCTGATTTGAGATGTATTCTAAGTGTAAAATACACATTCGCTTAGTGTATAAAATGTAAAATATTTCATTAATAATTGTACTAATTGTACATTGATTATACATAGAAATATTATTTTAGATGTATTACATTAAATAAAATATATTATTGGAAATTTATCTTATCTATGTCTTCTTATTTTTTTAAACATGTAGCTCCTGGGAAATTTAAAACTACATATGTGATTCTCACTATTTTTCTATTGGTTAGTCCTAGGCAAGACCAACTCCTCTCTGCAATGAGTTTATGGGTAAAGTATAGGTTGAAGTACTAAAGTAATAAGGTGCTAAAAATAAAATAACTTTTTTCAGTTTTTTATTGAATTTTTGTGATTTTTCATACAATATAGTTTGATGATACTTGGATCCTCTCCCCTATCCTCACCTTCTCCCACCCCCACCCAATTTAATGAACTCATGTATATATATGGCCTATAAAGTACAATTTGTGTCCCCCAGTGTCATTGAGTATAGATCCATTCATTGGACCCATCCGAGAGTCCCATCCCTGTAAGACACTGTCTTCCCTCTCCCAGCTGCCATCAATTGCCAAAAGTTTCTTAGATTGGGTTGGGATTTCTTACCCAGTTCCTCATGTCTTTGCTTGAATTTTTTCTGTTTTGAGCTTGCATAGGACTTGTGCATGTTATCACCATTGCTGTGAGTTCATTTGAGTAACTGACCAGATGTCTAGAAGACTATGTTTCCTTTGGTCATCCACTCCCTCTGGCTCTTAGAATTCTAGAGATGAAACTCACAGGAGCTGAATAAAATTCCGAATACCAAGGGTATATTAACAGCAAATAAGCCATTGTAGAAGAGAAGAGGTGAATATGTAAAGACTCAGCAAGAAATGCAACCCCCTCCCCCCACCAAAGTCTGGGGCAAAATAAAAAGAACAGAGAAGAGTGAGCTTTGGAATCATTAAGCCACCTCTTCTGCAATGACCCCTGACCTTGGGAGGTAGAGTTTGAAATAGGTGTTCTATTCTGTGGCTTCTTGTTTTCTGCACAGCTTTTTAAAAAACTGTAAATGACTTTACCCTGCCTTGAAATGAATTATAATGCCACACAATATTGATACTATGGAGTGAATCAAATCAGAATGATGAAGACAGAGCCTATGATCAAAAAAGGAAAAGTATTGGTTAGTCATTTGCTGACCCCAGGTGAGTTTTTTGTTTTGGTTTTTTTGTTTGTTTGTTTTGTTTTGTTTTTAAAGAAATACATTCAAGACAAATTTAAGAAACAAACAGCTTATTGGAAGTGATGTGGCTAGTGAAAAATCTTAAAATACACATGAAAGGAGCATCCCAGAGCAGGGAGCTGTGGCGATATGGAGCTAGACAGCCACATCGCAGAGAATACTTTCTTAGAGTGGCCAACTGCAGAGACTAACTGTACACTGTCACCATTTTGAACCGTTGTTCTCCGCAGGAGTTGTAGTCCAGTGCCAGTGCTTTGACCTGGTCAAGCTTGGGTTATATAAGTACCTCTGAGTCAGCCATCTGGACTTCCACACACTGGAAAGCAGGATGGAGAGTGTTGATAAAGTGCTGTAATCAAGGTGACCCTTCCTGAAGAAAAGGGAATATATGTTGCCCACTGAAAAACTCAACATGCCACCTGATGCCACCGATGTCCACTCTACAATAGAGAACAGCAATTCAATCCTAACTGTAGCATTTTTCTTCCTTGGAAAACTGAGTCAGAGCACTGGCTTATTTAGTGGAAAGTGAAGTAGAAAATAGTTTATATATCACAATAGAATCTGTCTTAGTAACAAACTATATAGTACGTTAAAGTTAGCAAGCCAAGCAATAATAAAGACAAAAAAGAGAAGACTCTAAGACTAATAAGGATCTCTTGGTACCATTATATTACAGCCTCAGGAAATAAATTGATGATCTGTTAGTCAATTTCCATTTCATCTCTCCACTTCCTTTCTCCCATCTCCTTAATTTAAGACAGACATTAATGGTTCTGTTGGAAAGGATACTGCTTAAAATAGCTGGAATCCTCTTCTAACTTCAAATTCACTTTGTACCATTTATTTCTTGGCTTACTGGACGTTTTATTGCACTATACACAAAACACTTGAGCTATTTTTTCCAGAAGAAAAAGACCTAGGAAAAATCAGGAGTGTGTAGCTAGGAAAAGAGGTACAGCTGTTACTCAGAAGAGAGCTGTACAAATGCCAAGCACAGGGCAAGCACAGTCATCTTCTGACTGAAT